CGTCTGTGAGCGGAGGAATAAACCCGTTTCTCTCGGTTAAAACAAACACCACTTTAAAATTCACCATACACAGCCTTTAAAAAAGTCCAAACTCTTCCTAATGTTCGTCGTTTTTAGTGTTATAATTAATATACTCACTGGTGAATGCAGAGAAAGAGACAGTCGACGCGTCTAATAGGTTTCCTGTTCGAAAGTTGCCGTGTGTCAGTGGGAAAAAAACATTGTACGCGGAAGTACACATCAAAAAAAAAAAAAAAAAAAGCTCAGGGTGGTCAACAGACGGCGGAAACGAAGTAACTATTTAATGTATAATTATTATTGAACACAACGTGCAAGATGACACATAAAAACGGATGTATAGTAAGTATTCGTGCTCTTAAGCCTCGACTGTCAAAGTTTTTTAAAAAGTAGAACCTAACACCGCTTGTTTCCGCACTGTGTTACACAGTAACTCGTCCCCATATGCAAAACTGAGTATACATATTTTATAAGCGTGATATTTAGGTTTTTACAAGATTTGTATTTTGTAAAAACCACATGTTAGTCTTTATTAGATATGTGGTTAAGTGTTGTTAATGTTGTTTGCCCATTACAACACTTTTTATTTCATACTTTGCAACACTTTACAGATTCTTTGATAATTATTAGCCAATTTCTTACTTAATCTTAGGCAAAACCTATTGCAGAAAGCAGACTTATCTGTTATCAGCATTATTGATGACTAAGAGTATTGCAGCGAACAGAAAAACATGTTTTCTCTCTATATACTATCTTATTTCTCTCCTAAACCTGCATTAAGCATACATGTTTCCTTTTTTTTCTTTTTTTTTACTATTGATCTACTTTAATGTCAAGCCTTCATTTACCTCAAACAAAATGCTCACACCACTGTGAAGCCATGGATATATTACAGACAATAAAGGACATATGTGTCGTTAAATTAGAGCAATGATTTAACCTACAAAGTAAACCAAACTTCACTACCTGCTCACAAGTTACCTTTCTTTTATTCTAGCTTCACTCTGCCACCTTGTGGAGAAACAGTAACATAACCCTAACCCGTTCACATCTGTATATTCACTTAATTAAAGCTGCATGCATTGTTCTACCAAGTACTCAGTTATTGCACATAAGTAAAAGTAGCATTACTATTATGTATACTGTGCTACAAGTAAGACATCATGCATTTAAAAAAAATCTTATTTAAGTACAAAAGTGTCAACATTTAAATGTACTCAAAGTATTCATTTCAGAATTGTAATATAATATTATTGGATTATAAATTGTGATGCATAATTGTGTTATTTCATTAAATATCTCAGATTGTAAAGGTGGAACTGATTTTAATAATTATGTACACTGCTGGGTATCTTAGCCTATAATAATATATCATGATGTATTGGTTGATTTATATTTTGTATTAATACCATCTGAATCTGCAAAATACCTAGCGATTAAAGCCATCTATGTAGTGCAGTAAAAAGTAAAATATTTCCCTCTGAGAAGTAGTGCGTTAAAATGAAGATGCATAAAACGGACCTACAAATTGTAATTAAGTACAGTATAATATACATCAATACTGACTGCATGTCTATTTAGTAAATCATTGTGTTTAATAACACATGTCACATGATCGGTTTTCCTGGAATTTTAGATTTGTTTGTCTTGAAATAAATTGTATTAATGGTTTACGTCTATTTTCTTGGATAGTGCATTACAGGTTGACACAGTACTGTAGAATTAATTATGTGATTTCCCTCTACTCGGGCGTGTAGTAAGGACTCGAACCTTTGATGATTTTGTGGCGAAGGGTTAACAGAAGACAGGAATGGCCGTTGGGCTGAGAATGAGCCGCAGTATAATGAGGACCCTGTCACTTCCTGTTAGACTCATCCTCGTTGATTGTATCATGGTCATAACCTTATTTTGTTCACACATTTTGAGTGGCTTCCATTCTGTGATTTAAAATTGTAGGTATGAGATATTGTAGATATTTGAGGTCATAAGGTTATATCATTAACTGGGAGGTTGTACACACATTCCTCGAATGTGCCCTTTAAGTTGAAACTGCAAATGTAAGAGTTACTGCCAGATATCGCTCATCGTGTCATTAATCCTCACACCTCGTTATTACCTACCAAACATTTGTAGAAGCTGTTTCACAACTTGGACATTCAATAGTCATTTCCAGATTAGTGGTGAAAGGTCAAGAAAAATGAAAAATATATGACTAGTTGTGGTGTTTATCAGGACGAATTGAATCAACCCTCATTTCAATGTTATTTGTAACTCAGTCAAATCAATTAATTACTTAATGGCGATGACAGATGTCTTTGTAATGTAGACACATGTTCTACAAGATGGTGGAGACTGTATTTCTATTTGTATTATTGCGTAAAATATAGTGTGTGTGTGTATTTTTACCAATTAGTTGTTTGAGTGAAAGTAAAACAGTAAAAACAAATGACTTTAATATACAAAATATGTTTTAAAAAAACCTTATTGATATTAAAATCATATTTCTTTACCGTGATGCTCTGATTATTTCAAGTTTGTATTAAGTACCTTGTTTTTGTCATCAAAACTAAGCACGATTAGAAAACTCAAATCTGGTCACGTTGTGGATTAGAATTATTTATACTATACTTTATTAATAACTACAGGAGTTACTAAGTGATCACATCGAAAAGTGAAGTTTCATTCCACATAGGGTTGTTACAAAATCACACCTCAGTACAGGAATATCAAAGTCAAAATAATTTATGATTGAGATATCTTAGGATAATACGATTTTGAATTGAACAGATTCTTTTTATGTTATATTTTAACTAATAATAGTCAGTCAAATGTACCTTACATGCATTTGATCTCTTCTGCAAATGAATTAGCCTCAGAATACAAGTGTGGGAGGTGAAGGGAGAGTTTGTTACCTAAAAACGTGTAAAGAGAAATTATTCAAGAGACCTTGGATTATTGTCTTCATTAGTATTAATCTGTAACAATATATAATTTTTTTTTAATCACGGTTATCGCAACACCCCTTATTCTAAATATTTAAATACACTGTGGTGTCAAAAGGAAGATATGTTCACTGGCATAAATACAATTGGTGTGAAAAGCTGCAATGTAATTCACACCTTGATGATAGCAATTGAGATTAGAGCCACCTCACATCACTGGTCGACGTCACACAATGAAAACATTTCAACAAACTCACAGTCACAACATCTCACTATTCAGAATAATGTTTATTGCTTTTGAAGATATTAATCTTTTTCTTCTTTTTTGCACTTTCCATTTTTCCTCTTTACAGTAAAACAAAGAGAGGTGACAGGTGAAACCACTCCATTGTCATTTTTGGATGTGTACACACACATACACACACAAAGGAAACAGTATTTACAGCTGTTAGTCAGTGTCCTGGGACTGGAGGCCTTGTTCCTGTAGCAACTCAACAAACATAGAGCTTTACATTAACTTTACAATAGAGCTTTCACAACTAACCGTTTGACAAACCATAGGCTCTGAAGCTGTACAATATGGTTTAGCGTTCACTCTGTGTGGAGAAACGGGGCCGGAGGAAGCTTGTTGGTCATTAGGTCTGCAAACATAAACAGTATTTTTTATTTTTCATATGTCCTCGAGCTAAACCAATTGCCCTGCTGCTGGCATTGACAAAAAGCACTGATTGAAAAATAATCAAAACAGATTTTCAGGGGGAGGATTTAAAAAAAGAAGACCAATATTATTCACTTTTGACTAATTACAGTACAGTTACACTGGGTGAATGCTAACTATAAAAATAAGTCTACCGGCATGTTTTTGCACCCAAAGGGTTCGTACGCTGGGCAGAAATGACCAAAGGGCACAATTAATTGGGGTCGAGAAAATGAGAGACCATTCCCAGTGTGGTCTCTGTCCTCATCATAGAAAAACATCTTCAGAGTGCAGATCTTCTGCCGTTAATAATTTAAACTTTGATACACCTAAGCTTATAATTTTTCCAACATGTTTAAATACTGAATTAAATCACAACAATACAGCTAAATCTTATCATAGTGAATCATAATTAAATGTAATGTACACCATAATAAAATATATACAGTGAAATATTCATACAAATTTCTAGGTTGGTCCAGCTCCCCCTAAATGCTCTCTTTTTCTTTCCTTTTTTTTTAGAAAAATGTGCAGGAAATACTTGAACCACAGGACAAAATAAATAATCACAGACTATCACAGTTAACACTATAAGAAATATGGATCTTAACATTTAAATTAACCCGCAGGAAAAACAATATATCATAAAAAGTAAGTGCAAAATAAATGTAGGGGCAGTTTTACTCACAGGGTTACGGGGTAAAAATGATTTTGGAGACATTGATGGACATGAGCACTAGGTGGCAGTATTTGACCATGTCTCAAAGTGATCACATGTATTCCAAATCTCAAGAATTATAGGATAAATCTGTAGAATTGGATCGATCTGAGCATTATTTGTTGTTCTGTTCTGTTAGGGATGTTGTTTGTTAATGTTTGTCGAGGCAGGTGCTGCTGTGCTGTAATTTACCACCTCACTGCCTCCTATCATAGCTCGCCTGCAAATTGTTGAGTACTGCAAGCAACGCGTAAAGCAAGTCTACAAAGAACAGGGCGGTCATTTGGTGTGAGAGATCAAAACAGAAAGGACTAGAGGGGGATACAGACAGCTGATACCCTAAAAACTGCACGCTCCATATACTCTGAGGTGGACGAGGCGGTGGTGTAATGGACTTAAAAACATACACAGCAAACAAGGAAACAGTCATTTCAGAAGTGAATAACACAACTGCCTTCTCTTGGAGAAAGTATCTATCCAGAGTGATTGGGGTGGGGAGTGGGGAGCGGGGGGTTGACAATTTAAAGCAGAAGAGTGTCTCTGAGAAAAGAAAGGAGAGAAAAAGAGAGTTATCAGAGCACAGACTGGCAAGATGGCGGGAGAAGAAGAAGAAGAAGAAGAAGTATTAGCTGTGGATCATTTTGAGAGTCTCTGTCTCCCTGTGTTTTTCATGCGGAGGCAGGGGGGGGGAGAGCGACACAGGACGGGAGGGGGGCCGGGGGGAGACGGGCTTCAGGCTCTTCAGAGGATGAGGGGACACTGTGGGGGGGAGAGAGGAGACGGGTGGCAGCACGCTCCCTTTCTTCCCGTCCAGCACTATCTGTGATCGGCTCGCCAGGCTGGGTCCCTTCCTGAAGTCGTGGTCGTTGTCGTTGTCCGAGCTGCAGTCGCTCAGGTCAGTGATCTCCAGGTCTGAGTCTGACTCGGGGTCCTGCTTCAGCCCCCCTCTCCTCTCCGAGGGGCTCTGCAGGCCGGCTCCCAGGCCCAGACTCACCCCCCCTGTGCCCGGAGGATTGGCCTCCGCCCTCTCCCTCTCCCTCTCCGCCAACAACGACGCCCCAATGTCCATGCGACCCAGAGACAGGCTCCCGGGGTACGGAGGGAGGCAGAGTCTGATCGGCTGACCACCCGCCGTGCCGTTCGTCCCCCCGGTTGTCCCCCTCTCACCTGCCTCTGCCGTGGGGAGCAGGGAGGAGAAAGGGTGAGGCAGCTGGGAGAGGCTGCTCTGCAAAGGGTTGGGGTAAAACTGGGAGGGGTAGAGGGAGCCAGGGGGCAGTTTGGGGCAGTTGTTGAGGGAGAAGGCCCCTGGGAGGTAAGGGTTGAAGCCCCAGGGGTAGTCGAAGGGTGGGTTGCGAGCATAGGGGCCCAGCAGGGACGGGGGCTTGGTGTAGCACGGAGCACCTACAGGACAGAGAGGAGATCCAGTTAGCTCTCTGAAGGGCCAAAGGTTTCTTGACATACAACATCCAAGAATGTTCACTAATTATGCTCATCGGTATTAGCAAGTCTAATCAGGAGCCACAGGGGCCAATTCTGCCACGGCTGCTTTCAACACCCACAACAAGACAAGAAACCTGATGGTTCATTTATGCATGCCAGTACTGAGCAGCACACACACTTCCCCGAAAAGCAGATTCTGAAAAATACACATTGAATTAAGAGTTTAAACCTTCCCAACGTTGAGACTGAAGCACTCCTTTGTGCACCAGTCGATCCTCAAAGAAATACCGAGTTCAAACCCAGATCTAATGTTCGATAGAGGGTCTTTTAGCATGTTTCTCTTCAGTTATCGTGATGTTACATGCTATCTTAATATTTGTCCTTGTTTGATGTTGCAAATGGAGCTGCTGTGATGCAAGTAAAATGTTATACTTGATCTGACAAGAAATTATTATCTTATCCTTTTTTTGGTATTTCTCTTCGGTTAAACAAGGAGATGGGTTCTCATTGGTGACAGTCACCTTTTAAAAAAAATGATGTAGCCAAGAAATAATAAAGAATACATCTACGTCCAGGATTAAGGAAACTCGCAAACAGTCGATCTCCTGTCCCCCCAATTGTTCTCCCCGTATCACTTCATCCTAAGGTTTTTACGTAATATAAAAATATTACGTAAAAACATTAGGATGAAGTACATTTCATACAACACCATGTTTGAATTCCTTGTGAGTGAAACCGAAACAGGGGGTGAATTCGAGGTGATGCTGGAATTCAATTTTAATGCGCAAACAAAAGCATTGCCTCTCCACACACTGTACTTCCTTCCAACTGACAACCAACTCAAAGCTGCCTCTCTGCTGCACCCTCACTCTCCTCGCTCTGTGTTTCACTCCGTTATTTACTATGCAGGGCTAATTTGACAGTGGTGAAGTCTCTGCGTGCTGGGCCAGGAGTAGCTGGCAGACACATGAATATTGAATCAGTCAGGCAGGCCTCACTTGCTTATGAAAACACAGTAATGGGCGCCCACAGGCCACAAACTGAAGCCTGCACCCTCAATTAGGGCCTTCCTGCCTGGGAAGGGATTAGGACAGCAGGGACACATGGGAGGGAGAGGAGGGTGAGAAGGGAAGAAGGGGGGAAAAGGACCTGAGGACAAACAGAGTGGGGAGGAAGGAGGGGGTGTGTGTGATGTGTGTGTGTGTGTGTGTGTGTGTGTGTGTGAGAGTACATCTGTTTACACTCTCTGGCGCTGCACGTTCGTACACATTCTGATGCACGTATAAGAAACAAAGGCAGATGCACACACACAACGACAATTAGGCCAATTGATGGAACCGGAGAAAGAGCAGGATAAATGTTTTCCTAAAACCGGGTCGAGTGTTTCTCCAGCTTGTTGTTTTGGCCGCGGCTGAAATGCATAATTCACCAGCTAACCTGGCCCTTCACCTGCAGCACAGCCTCACCGCGGGCTGCCATGGGACGGCCATCTCTCTTATTTCCTTTAACAATAAATGTTCATGCCTCCCCATATCCTCGTTGCTCTCCTCTTTCCCTCTACCTTCTCCTCCTCCCTTTGTTTAAGAAGCTCCGTTTGCTGGCTTATTATACCGCCTCGGCTGTGTTTCTCCTCATAAGAAATGTGTTTGTCTCTGGGATACAGAAAGATTCCTATTTGTTTTTTTTACACTTTTCACAAACTTTTATTTGCTCACCTGTACTGAGGAAGGGGAATGAATCCAGCCTCAGCTTGTCTCCTTCGGGCCCCGGTGCTGCGGTGGTCCGATCAAACAGGGACGTGCCCCTGCCCGAGTCTGGCAGACGAGGAAACAGGGACTGTATGGCCTGAGAAACAAAGGAGAGGAGAGGGGGAAAAGAGAGTGGAGGAATATAAAAACGAGTTTCCTTTACTTCCTTAAGCGGTGGTAGAATGCAATAAAGAACATCCACTCAAGTACTGAACCTAAATAGAAAGGTACTGGTCATTTAACTAATTTCCACATTGTGACAAGATAAGAAAATTAAAGAGTAGAAATAAACAATACTAGAATTTTAACATCTCGAAAGATACTACTACATTTGGTGTGCATATGTATTTTCCAGCTTCAGTAACTATAGCTAATTTGCAGATTTATGTTATAAATAAAACATATCGTTCAACTGATTGTGGATGGATGATGGTGAATTATTAAAGTCAGTAATTAAAAAGAAACCCCACCTATACCAGATACAACATTAAAGTTTATTTATTTATTTATTAAGCAATTGTTTATTATGTATGACTCTGAAATTAGCCATACTACACAATTGGTACTTCATGGATAATGATGCCAACTGTTTTTACACTTTAGTATTACTGCTTGTATTTCTGAGTACTTCTTCCAACACTGCCTTTTAATATAGAAACTTTGCAATACGACTGTTTATGTGTAATGTACAATTTAATAATATCATTATTGGCTTCTTCAATGCTTTTTCACTTTTGAATGTTGCTACTTATTTGTTAGCATGGAAGTGTACTCATCGGGTTTGATTTACTTGCCTCTTAAATTGACATGTAAGTGTACTATTTTACGTTTGCCTTTTATCTGCACTTTACCCTTACTGTTGTAACACTGAATATGTCAATAATAAAGGATTTCTGATTTCCCAAATAAACCACATGTTTTGCTTCCAATCTGCCCTCATGGTGCTGTTGTGTTTCCACGGTGTAAAGTCACATGTTGGCAGCAGCACTCCCGCAGAGTGTGATGCAAACAGTGACAGAGGACACGATAAAAAAGGGGGTGTCAGGGGACAAAAAAAAAAAGGGAGGTAGGAGGACGCAGAGGCTCAGAGAGTCAAAGGCAAGGAAGAGTACAGAGTCAAATGTAGAACAGCGATTAGGATGGTGTGCACAAAGGATGAAGGAGGAGGAGAGAGAGAGAGGGATTGTGGGTCTTCGTCCTGTGTGACGGGTGCAAACAGATCTGAGAGAGTGACACCCATTCAGGATGTAGGGCAGCTGTGTGTGTGTGTGTGTGTGTGTGTGTGTGTGTGTGTGTGTGTGTGTGTGTGTGTGTGTGTGTGTGTGTGTGTGTGTGTGTGTGTTAAATACGTAAATGAGAAGGAGGCAAGGTAAAATAAATGGCACAGTTGAATCTCACGAATCAAGGGGACAAAGGGGGGATTTTTTTCTCCCCCCCTAGCAGGACTTTTGGATCAATAGTATCTGTCACCCCGCAGCCCATAGTTTGAAAGGCGAGACTGTACTCCCAAGCTGGAGATCTGCGTTGCTTAACAAACCGCATTAATGACCCGCCATTGATCTGATCTGACGCGACCCCTTTGCTTTCTATTCCTTTCATTTTCAATCGATGACAGATGGATGCGCCATAGGAGACGGGATGAGAGCAGGAGGGGATAACGTCTTCTTTTGTTTTAAGGACAAGTTTAAACCGTCCTCCTCCTCTGTCTCCTTCAGTCTCCTTATCCCGTCTTAAGGATGGCACGACAGATGATGGATGGTGCTCTCCTACTGTACTTTCAAGTTACGTGCACTTTGTAGGACATTTGCTGTTTAAAATGTAATTAAGTGCACTCACATCTAAGTTAAAAAAGACCTGTGTACAAGGTGTGTACAGCTATGTTTGAACTCATTTCTATTGATTTCCGTATTTGTTTCTAAATATAACTTCTAAGAAAGACGCGCAAGTCAAGTATTCTTTAACTAAATTAGGATGTGTCTTTCTTTCCATTTTATAATAGCATTTATCTACGTAGGAAGTCTCTCTGAGCACGTGTTAAGAATTGTATCACAATTAGAGGTGGTGAAAAAAAAGGCAGACATGATGATCACCACCCATTCTCTTGTAAAGATCGAACACACAGCAGGGGCCTGAGAAACACAAAAGGCAAACCGCTAGAGTGCAATGGATTTCAGGTACCTGAATTAAATCGCTATTAATAACAAATTAGGGAGCAGATTTTGCTATTCCTGCTTTTTTTGTTCATGATTTCACTTATTTTACTCCCTGTGTCTTACCTGCTACATACCATTGTGTGCACACATTGTACCTACCACCCCACCTCACACACATTTTAATTAAAAACAAATACTTTTATAATGTTAATAGTATCCTATGTTAACATTTGCTCCTCTATTTTTGAGTACTCTCACTTATTCTGTATATTGTACATTGTGTCTTATTTAGATACTTTGTGGATATGTACTGTATATTCACTGTTTTGATGTTTTTTTTCGTTTTGTGATTTTATTATCAAATCAAATCAAGTTTTATTTATATAGCACATTTATGAACGATTTTTGGTCGAGCCAAAGTGCTGTACTAAAAATAGCCTACAGTAGAGACACTTAATACAACACAGATTGTTAACATATATTTGTATGTTATTGTATTTTTAACTCTGCTGTGTCAAAAAGGACAATCCAATTTTCAGATTCATAAAGTATATATGTAATGTACCCATAATGATACACACTGAATCAAAGACTTAAACGAAACGTGGTCATCATTTAGATGTTTTTCTTTGTGCTTTTAAATTTGGGTTTTTATCTCACTAGTGTTTTTACGTCATGTAGGAGAGTTTCTCAGTCTGTGGCTTCTGATCTGGTTTCATTGTCTCGTACATTTGTTTCATGTCCTGTCTGTTTTTCATGTATTTATGCTATGTTTTTTTTTTATATAGTTGTTGATGTTGATGTTGATTAAATGTGCTATATAAATAAAACTTGATTTGATTTGATGTACAGCACTTTGTTCAACTCTGTTGTTTTTAAATGTGCTATAGAAATAAAATGGATTGGATATGTAGGTGTCATTTTTGTTCATTTTTCTTTTTGATTATCATTATATGCATATGTATCCAACAATAAGAAGCCCCTCTACCTTCCCCCCGTCCCGTCCCGCCCCCCCGTC